CGTGTGGATCAGACCCAGAGCTCTCAGAGCCCATGTGGATCAGACCCAGAGCTCTCAGGGCTCGTGTGGATCAGACCCAGAGCTCTCAGAGCCCGTGTGGATCAGACCCAGAGCTCTCAGGGCCCGTGTGGATCAGACCCAGAGCTCTCAGGACCCGTGTAGATCAGACCCAGAGATCTCAGGGCACATGTGGATCAGACCCAGAGATCTCAGGGCAGCCCTTTCCTTCCAGACCTGAGGAGTTTGTGCTGCTCAGTGCTGCAGGAGGGACCTTCTCCCTGCTCTCACGTGAAATGGGCACTGAATGTTGTGCTGAATTCTTTGCAAGCCCTCTCATCTCTCCAGGGATTTTTCCAGAACTGGAAAACAATCACATGGAAATACCATTCACATGGGGAGTTTCAGAAACATTTTCTTCCATTTCAGTCTCMTTTTGGCTGCGTTTTCACTGCCTCTCCTCAGACCCAGTGCTGTGCTTTGGGGTGTCTCTGCCCTTGCAGGGATGTTCCACAGCTCAGCAAAAGGCTGTGACACAAGAGAGAAGCTCAAACCAAACTGGCAGAGGGGCATTTGAGGTCTCTGCCAGCCTCCTTGGGCAGCTCCACCCAAATAGAAACTCTGGAGGCAGCTTCAGGCTCTCTCACACGAAGCCATGGAGCTCCATCTGTGCTTTCTGTGCAACTGTGAGAGAATAGAAACGCTCAGAACAGTCTGGGGGACTGATGGGATGGCTGCTTTTAGACAGCCCTAAATCAGTGGCCAAGGCAGAGCCCCAAAGTCTGGGAATAACCCACCCACCCCCTCAGAGCCCACGCCTCAGGCTCACGCAGGTGGGATTACAAATGCTGCTAAAAACATAAAAAAAAAACAAGAAAAGGAAAGCAGATTTTATCTCCAGCACTCACAGGCCCTCCTCAAAACTCCAAATGTCATCTGAGTCCCGTGGTCAGCACGGGAGCAGCACTTTAACCCACTCTGCATCCCAGTGTTTGCTCAAATCCTGTTTCCAAACTGGAATCGCTGCTGCCAGGAGCTCTTTCCAACGCTCTCCTCAAGAGCAGCTCACCCCCTCCCTGGCAGTTGGGAAATCGCTCATTGTGGAGAATCCTCGTGATTTTTGTTTGTTAGCAGCCACTGGATGACCCCTCCTCAGGGACATCCTGGATTGAAGGAGTATTTTTTTTTTATTTTTTTGTGCCTTGCTGCACATTTACAACCTCAAAGCAGGCCTGGCTTGGGAACCCAGTGAACCATCCGAGATTTCCTCCAGGGATGTGAGGAGCTGGGGTGACAGCAGCTGAACCCAACTCTGTTTCTGCTGCCAGGAAATGCMAGACAGCGAGAGGAGGCTCTGAACACGTCTGGCATGAGGCATCAACCCTGAATAACGTTCCTGAGAGCCAACACCTTTCCCTGCCAGGGGCAGAACAGCACATTCTGCCCTGTCAGAGCAGGCTCTGCCCTGGATGCTGTCCAAACTCTTCCTTCTCAATGGAGAATTCCTGCTTCTCTTACAGACAGTGCCCTCAAACTGAATTTTGCCCTCGTTGAACCGAGTTATGCAGCAGAAATTTTCTTTCCCTTCTCTTGYCTCATGGACAGGAGTCAGAGTGATCTAAATCACACTGATCTCTCAGGGAAACACAACACTTCCCCCTCATCCACCAAATGCTCCTGCTGAGGCAGCACAAGAGAAAGTTCTGAGATGAGGGAGATTGTATCCATATTTTATATTTGTTTTAGCAGAAAAGAGGAGAAGGGCAATAATTGCAGCCTGGTTTTGTCCCCAGCACTCCAGAACAAAGCCAGGCTGTGCTTGCAAATGGGAGCTTTAAAATGAGCACCCCAGGGTGCTGCTTGGACAGAGAGCAAGTCAGGGTTTGAGGAGAAATGCTGTCCAAAGGTTTTAACCACACTGGTAAAAACCAGCACAGGGGAGCACTCAGCCCATGAGAACAGAGCAAAACAGAGCCACCAACATCAGCAGAGCTTCCCTTCTGCATCCTACAACCTGGGACACCTCCTGAAGGAGGAAACACCTGCAACTCCAGTAGGAAAGGGTGGAATTGAGTTTTTGGGTCTCCCCTGAGCCTCTCCTCTCTCCTGCWAGAGGAACCCACTCATCTACAAGGGGATTTGCTCACACGGCTCATGGCAGTGCCAAAAATCCCTTCYAGCACTGATTCCAGCAGAATCTCCATGAAGCCAGAGCTCAGACCTTTCTTCCCCAAGAGCCTCACAGCGTTTCCACACTTTCTGCAGCTCCAAGAGCTGAAAGATGGGTCCCTAAGCCACGGATCGAAGGGGAGCTCAGATAACCCTAAACCACACCACTGAGGGGTCTTGCAGAGATATTCCCTCTCTAGACGAGCAGTTCTGGAGCATTCCAGACCTTCCCAAGGGCTCCCAGCTGGTGCCACAGTGAAAGAGAATGTTTTTGTGTACCAGGGAGCCAGCCCCACGCTGCCCTCACCCCTGAGGAACAGCTCAGCCATTCCTCTGGAACTGTTCATCCCCTGCAGCCCTTCAGCAGGACCTGGGGCACATCCCCTGCACCAAAAGCCAAGCCCCAGCCCTGAGCTGTCCCTCTGCCACCCCAGAAAGCTGCAGGGGACGTGTGACAGCGTGTGGCGAGGGTGACAGCCCCTTGATCCYCCAGCTGAGCAGAGAGAGGCAAAGCAGAGCCAGGGCAGGAGCAGCTGTTAGTACCTCTCTGCAGGAAAGAGGCCGTTCTCTGCATCATCCCTGCTGGGGGAACAAAAGGACGGGAGAGAAGGGTGAGGCAGGGAGAGGAGGGGATGGGCTGGGGGGTGACAGCACCCCAGGGAGAGCCAGGGCAGCACTGAGAGCTGGGGGTGTCTGACCCACCCTGGGATGGGGGCTTGGGGGGCTGCAGAGACATCCCAGGGCATGGAGGGGGCTCGCTGTGCCCCACGGGGAGAGCAGGGGGCTGGTTTGCCATGGGGCTGGTTTGCTGTGAGGATGATTTGCCATGGGGCTGGCAGCTTGCCCCACAGCAGGAGAACACGGCTGTGGGCAGAAGGAGGAGTTGGTGTAGCCAGCAGAGAGAAAAGGAGCTCTTACCTGGCCTCTTCTTTCCAATGGGCTCCCTGAAAAAGAGAAGGGAGAGTGTCAGCAGAGGGACGGAGCATTTGGGTGCTGGTCAAGGGACAAACCCACCCAGGAGAGCTGTGCTGGCTCTGGTGGGCACTGCCCTCCCTCAAWCACCTCACCTCTCCATGGGCATCACCCACCCTGCCAACAACCCCTGTGCCCCTCCTTTAATTTCATTATTTAATGTTTTGTCCTKCCCAGGTGAGCTTGGYCTCAACTCCCACCMGGCCACGYGGTGCCACCTCAGGTACTCATCCASGAGAGATYGATAAAAAYAAATAAAAYTCAACCAAAATGGACTGGAAACAAAGGGGGCATTGTTACAGAAACCAGAGAYTGCTGAGTTCAGAGAGCAGAGGCTGTGCCAAGAGATGAATGCCATGTCYAGGGGCACAGACCAACAGGGAAATCTGTGGGACAGAGCATCCCAAAGATTCCTACACAGAGGCAGCATTGCTGAGCTAATAAATAATTAACAAATCAGAGTTTATCAATCAAGCCCTATTCAATTTTCCCCAGTTCAGAGGTCCAACTGGGCAGAGAAGGGAAGCACAGCCAGATGAGCAGGCTGGAGATCAGCAGGTGGGGATGGCACCTCGTGCTGATGGCAATCACTTGTTTTTCCCCTGCCTCCTGCTAAAGCCATCGCTGTAACTCATCCCCTGCTTCCTTTCCCTGGCTGAGCGAGGGGGCAGGCAAAGAGCTGCGATTTCACTTGGCTGCTGGGATGTTCCTGGCAGCAGCACAAAGAGCTGCAGGTCTGAGGAGCAGCAGCCCCAGCCCGACCTCCTCCGAGGGGACAGGAGCTCAGACCAGACAGGAAACGGCCAAAAAGCGCCAGCAGCATCTCCTCCTCCTCCTCCTCCTCCTCCTCCTCCTCCTCCTCCTCCTCCTCGGATCCCATGGAGCAGGGAAGGGCAGCAGCACAGTTCACACTCACAGTTCCCTGGAATACCCTGAGCTCCAGAGGAAGAGAAGGAAAAGCCACTCTGCCTTCCACAGTGAATCTCATTTATCTCCAGCCCCACATGGTTACAGGGCACTGAGGCACAGGGGACACCAACCAGCCCCACAGAGCTGCTAAAACCYAGGAATGGTTCTCCAGCTGCTTCCCAGAACTCTGAAGGTGAAGGCTCTGGTGTGATTGGAGCTCACTTCAATGTGAGCCAACAGCACAGYCTTAGCAGGCTCAGCTCAGTATCCTCAGGAACCTCATAATCCCCCAAAAGGAAACTCTGACACGTGGAGAACTCTTAGCACATCCAATAACCCCCATGCCATGTTTTYTTAGGAAAAGAGAGTCAGGATTTGTCAGGTTTCTCAGGTATCTTCTCTGGACAGCATCCCTGTGGATCCAGGGTGAGATGGGGAGCACAGGGGTTCGGCAAAGTGAGCGGGTTGGGGGTGGGTGGGGGACAAACACGAAGGGGCTGCTTCTCAAAAACCTTTAGGGAACTCTTAAACTACTCACTGCAGGCTGCTGGGCACACTGAAAGTCTTCGTGAACTTACAGGGTGATAATTCAGCAAGAAATTAATTAAAAGACATTAATTATAAAGCCAGCTCTGAAGAAGAGCTGTTAGAAGCTTGCTTGAGTTTCTAAACCCTTTCCTGAGGCACATTTGGTGCTGCTGGGCCAGGCAGGTCCCTGAGCTGCAGGGAGGTGGCCCTGAGGTTGTCACACAAAATAAACCCACCCTGCATTGGGATTCAGAGGAGAAAATTGCCCTCAAACGTGGCTTGGGGACCTCAGCAGTGTCCCTGCTGTCACAGCCAGCTCATGGAAGAGGTGAAGGATTGCAGCACCAGCACCAGGAAAACAACTCCAGCTGCTGCAAACCCACACGGGAGACAGATCTGAGGTCAGCATTCCAAGAAAACATCTCCCTCGTTTAAAAAAACCCTCTCTTGTAAAAAAATAAATCCTTCTGTAATACAGTAATGSCACCAGAATAGCTGCCAGGAGGGAGTTCATCTCCTAAGCGTTCAGCAAGCTGGGAGATGTTTGCAAAATTCACGCAGGCAAGGAGTGGGGTACAACAGAGCCCTTGTTTGGGACAAGTGGTGTTTAGCAAATGCTCCAGCAGCGCTGAAAGGAGCCCTGTCCCYGCACTGCAGGGCCACTGGAGAGCTGGCCAAGCTGAACCCTCAGGCTCACAACCTGCCCTCGCAGCTCAGAAAAGCCAGGGCTCTGTCCCTGGGCCTGGCACGAAGCAGATTCCTGCAGGAATCTGGGATTTCTGTGTGCTGTCACCGAGGAAAGCCGGCTCTCAGCACRAAGGGGAGGAGGAGGCTGTTCTGGAGCTGCTGCTGAACGTGCACGCAGGCAGGGGAGAAACACAAAACARCTCAGTGCAATCTGTCTGGAGGGCAGCACGGCCCAAAAGCTACAAGGCAGCAGGAATCCTCCTCCAAACCAACATCCAGCCACTCATGGATCTCTGGTTCACCACCAAAAACTCCTGGAGTGGCTTCCTACAGCCCCTCCATCCTATTGCAGGGATGCTCATCCCCTTTTTCCATCCTCCCCTTTCTCCAGTTCATCCCCAAACTCCGAGGGGTTCTCAAGGGAGGAAGGGAGGCACAGCCTCAGCAGCACAGCCTTCCTCACCTGCTCAGCTCCCTCCTCATCTCCAGCCCCCTTGGGTCCAAGCTGGGCCCTGGGAGCGTTCCCTGCTCGCCCCAGTGATGCTTTCCCTRGCAGGGACGAGCAGGTTCCTCCCTGTGCTCTTGGTCCTCCACCCCAGCAAAGCAAACAGCCACAACAGCCCTGGGCTGCCCTGGAAATGCCCCCAAAGCCTCTCTCTCCAGCCAAGGGCTGCTTGGCAGGGAGYTCAGGGGGTACCCAGGAGCATCGAAAAGGAGGAAAGAAACAGTTTAAAAAGCTGTGCCCTCATTGGAAAAATAAAGATTCATWAGGCAAAAGGTTCAAAGCAACAAGTTTGAAGTGGCTTATACACGATGGGCAGCTCAGCTCCCAAAAAACCCAATGAAAGATGGTTTTAATGGCAGAGGTTTCTCATGGCCAGAGGCACATCCTGTCCCAGCCTCTGGGAACAGCAGCTCCTTCCCCAAACATCCCCCTCAGAACTGTGTTCAAGGAATAAATAACTACTTGGTAATATTAGTAACTTATCAGTCATTAATATGAATAACTTATTAATAACTCTTAGGATCCTGCTTCTCTGCAGAGTTAACCTGGGCTGCCACATGTCCCAGATCCCAAACTGAGCCTGAGGGGAGAGAGCAGCTGAAAGCTTTGACTCAGCAGTGGCTCAGTGCCCAACCCCTCCCAGGCTGATCCCAGCACTGAATGCGGTCAGAGAGRGCTCAGGGCTGGAAAAAGGGGGGTGGGAGGGAGTGGGGCACACATAGAGATCCCCCCCTTCAGCAGYCCAGCATCCTGTGCTGGGCAGAGCTGCTGGCAGACGTGGGGAGCAGGAATTTGATGACTTCTGTTCTCTGAAGCTACAGGGCTTCCGTCCAACACTGAGGAGAAAAATCCCACATCCCTCAGACTGTTAACTTTCCAGAGATTTCTTTTTCCGTAACCATTTCTCTCCTCCTGCTTCCCTCACCCCCTTCCCAGTGCTCTTCCCAAATCCTTTTGGATTCATTCT